CTTTTGATTCTTTGTGTACTTTCAACGACACTAGGAATTTTTTGTTTAGGCCGAGGCTGGTGGCTATCATCTCTGGCTGCTGTATATTCGGCTGAAAACAGTGATAGCTGAGAGTTTGGTCTGTTTTATCTTTGTGGTGTTTACTGAATTTTCCTTGTTTGCGGGTTCGCCTTCTTTGCTTCCCTGAACTGGATTAACTTCATTCTCTGGCTGTGGGGCTATCTCGTTTTCTGTCGCCTCTAATGGATGGTGGGAGCAGGATCTGTGGGTACTGCCACCTCCTGTTCTCAGTTTTTGTTGTCGTCTGGTTTTGCTACTTTTGATTTAGCCTCATTGTTAGCTGGGCGAACCCATTTAGGAGCCGCTCCCTTGAATGTGGGGGTGGTTTTAGGGACAGTGTTTCGTTCAGACTTTGACTCGCATTTGGCCGGGGGTGGGGGGGGGGGGGGGGGGGGTGGTCCTAGGGGCACTAGCTCGACCCTTCGCCGCTGGCTTCTCCGTGATGGGCTCTGGTTCGCGCGAACCGCTTCTCAGTGCCGGTGGCATTGTGACTGAACTGTTATTCGGTCTTATATCAATGGTCTCTTGTAAGGTTTAGCGAGCGGTTTATATTAGATTTGCGAATTAAATTATAATAACCTATGGCGCAGCTCCTTCTTCTGGTGTCTCTTTGCTCGGTATTTTTTCAGTATACCGAGTCTTCTTTGATGTCCCTGGATATACAACTGTTGTCTCCTATGAAGGTCGTTTTGTTGGCAGCTAACCAGGCCTGACCGATCAGCCGAATCAGTTCAAAGCGATCAATGTCTTTCCTCAGTTAGCCAGCGGGACAGATCAAGCCGTATAGGTACTTAGCGATCTATGTCCTGACTTTCGCTAGCCGATTTAGGCAGATCGAGCCGAAAAGATCAAGTGATCAAGTTGCAACTAACGCAAGCCTAGATTAACCATGTCAGCAGACTTTATAATAAGCGAGGCAACAAACTCGCGACTTATGGTTGTGAGGCAACAAACTCGCGACTTATGGTTGTGAGGCAACAAACTCGCGACTTATGGTTGTGAGGCAACAAACTCGCGACTTATGGTTGTGAGGCAACAAACTCGCGACTTATGGTTGTGAGGCAACAAACTCTCACAATAATTCAGATAGATCTCAGTCTCAACAAGTGAATGTTCAGCTGTGACTATCGGACAGAATTCAAGCGAGTCTGTTATCGCTACCAAACATCTACAATTTTGTCCATAGTCTTTTTTGTTGCAGTTCACTTTGTCTCTGTGTACGCTTAACATGCACAATCCAGACAGACGTTCATCTGACATAGCAGATCTAAGCCATTTTTTTTACACGATGTAATGTGCTGAGCGATCGCTCCACCGTACATGTTGTTGCTGGTAATGTTAGCAAAACTAGTAAGGCATACCTGACACTCAGATAAAACTTTGTAAAAGGTAGCAAGTCAATGAAATCTTGGCTACTTTTGTATTCTCGTGTTTTCCAAAAATCAAACCAACTCAAGGCTTCGGTTTCAAAATTATTAATGTGGTATATTTGATTAATAGTAGACATTATATCCTTAAACTGTTTACGATTCAGTTTGCACAATTTCGAAGGATGTAGCAAAGCTAAGTTAAATTATGCACTGTTGGCTTCACAAAATCGACTCTCCATTGAGTTAATTAGAGAATCTAAGTATGAAATGTAAACTGTTGGTCTGAAGTCTTCAACACTTATGGTTCCAGGATTACTTCGATGCTTTTGTCTTCCACACTGTCTTGGGATAATCAGTTCAATATCCACTTTCTGTGCGAGTTGTACTGTTTTCTCAAAAATGTTCCTGAAATAGTTATCGGAATCACCTCAATGAAGTTTTACTACACTGAGCAGGTTTTGAACTTGCAGTTGGACTTCTGGACGATCAACTTGAACAGCTTGAAGAGCCTGAGTAACTGGTTCCAGTATGGCAGAGTAATGCGAAATAATATTGAGACAAAATGAAAATGTGCTGATGTGCAGCCTGTCGTGTATTTCCACTTGCATGCAATGAAAATTTTTCCAGTTGACAATAACTTCAAATTTACTAGAAAAAAAATATGAGTACTTTTATATTTGCTTGTCCATCTAGTCTCACAGAAGAGGAATATTTGGGACAGAGGACCTCCATTTTGGGCTTTCACGAAAAAATGTAATAATTGCTTTGATAGTACCAATAGTATTTCGTATCACTACAACATTATTAAGATCATTTACTACGAGATTCAGTCTATGCGAGGTACAGTGAACAAAGGCAGCCTTGAATTTCTGCGTGAGAACTATGGTTGGCAATAATTGTTTTGATAGTACCAATAGTATTTCGTATCACTACAACATTATTAAGATCATTTACTACGAGATTCAGTCTATGCGAGGTACAGTGAACAAAGGCAGCCTTGAATTTCTGCGTGAGAACTATGGTTGGCAATAATTGTTTTGCCCTTTCAAAAGTGTCCCTTTTTATGGTCAAACGAGAACTTATTTTCTCGTTTTGTCTACGGCCGCACACATCTTTTACAAGGTGTCTGTGAGACCCTGTCCTGATATTATATAGAATTTTTGTTTGTATTGAAAATGTGAGCAAAATGTTCGTCTGTGTATTTTATACTGCATTATTTGTTTTATATTGATTTTGCACAATAAACGAAATTAAAATCTTATTTTAATCTCTTTTTATTATATATAGTTTGTGGAGTGAAAACAAAAGGGGCATACCTATGAAATACTTTTTATATCGAGTATCCTATTCCCCCCCCCCCCCCCCCCCCCCCCCCCCCCCCCCCCTTTCCATATAATATATGTATACACACTATATACACATCTATTGACGAAGTGGAAGCACCCAAAACGCAGGTTCTTGAATAGGACAGAAGTCTGCGACTACGCGGTGCCTCTGGGCGCCATGTGAATTAATTGATTGTAGGACTAAGCTCTACCTTATGTGCCTCTCTATGTGTCATGAGGAATGATTGGTTGTAGGACCAAGCAGAGCTCTCTAGGAGAACTGCCTTTTTTGAAAACCCAATTGAGACAAAAAGCTTTGACATCTTGTTGTCACGGCAATGTGAAGAAAGCGCAGCTCTTTGAGAAAGCGGGAAAAAAAATTGTTTACGGCCAGGGGAATATTTAAGTTAGTTGCGTATCCTTTACAGGACGTTGCAGAACCAACCCCAGCAATTTTGGCTGTTGTGGTTTTGCTAAGCAAGTTTACGTCCAGTAGTTTGCTATTTCTTTCTGGACAGTCGGCTTCTAGATACCACTGTCGAAACCAACGCCCCACAGTGGGATCGAACCCGGAATTACGAAGCGCGTTCGTAACGCCCAAGCCACAGACGCCGACAGGGGAATATTACTAATGATGGTGGCAGTGCAGAGTCTCATTATTTCGTCAGCTATGTGGCTAAGTCGATGCGAATGCTTCGTAATGCCGGGTTCAATCCCAGCTGCGGACCATGCGCCTTGCGTTGGTTTCGACAGTGGTCTCAAGAAAACCAACCGTCCAGAAGCAATGGCAAACTACTGGACGTAAATTTGCCTAGAAAAACCACACAACAGCCAGGGGCTGTTTACCTTATAATATATCTGATGTTAACATTTTATCATTTATTAAATATTACAAATTCAAAATGGGCACCATTCACAAAATATTGCGAACATACTGGGTGGACCACAAGTATACTGTGAATATCCAGGGTGGACCACAAGTATACTGTGAATATCCAGGGTGGACCACAAGTATACTGTGAATATCCAGGGTGGACCACAAGTATACTGCAAATATCCAGGCTGGACAAGAACAATACTGCAAATATCCAGGCTGGACAAGAACAATACTGCAAATATCCAGGCTGGACAAGAACAATGCTGCAAATATCCAGGCTGGACAAGAACAATACTGCAAATATCCAGGGTGGACAAGAACAATGCTGCAAATATCCAGGCTGGACAAGAACAATACTGCAAATATCCAGGGTGGACAAGAACAATACTGCAAATATCCAGGCTGGACAAGAACAATACTGCAAATATCCAGGCTGGACAAGAACAATGCTGCAAATATCCAGGCTGGACAAGAACAATGCTGCAAATATCTAGGGTGGACAAGAACAATACTGCAAATATCCAGGGTGGACAAGAACAATGCTGCAAATATCCAGGGTGGACAAGAACAATGCTGCAAATATCCAGGCTGGACAAGAACAATACTGCAAATATCCAGGCTGGACAAGAACAATGCTGCAAATGTCCAGGGTGGACAAGAACAATGCTGCAAATGTCCAGGGTGGACAAGAACAATGCTGCAAATGTCCAGGGTGGACAAGAACAATGCTGCAAATGTCCAGGGTGGACAAGAACAATGCTGCAAATATCCAGGGTGGACAAGAACAATGCTGCAAATATCCAGGGTGGACAAGAACAATGCTGCAAATATCCAGGGTGGACAAGAACAATACTGCAAATATCCAGGGTGGACAAGAACAATACTGCAAATATCCAGGCTGGACAAGAGGGATAAATCATTCAAGAAAAAAGCTGGCGATTATGGAAGGACCTGTCATTAGCTAAAAGTTAGTTGTGTATCCTTCACAGGTCGCTGCAGAACCAACCCCAGCATTTTATGGTTGTGGTTTTTCTAGGCAAATTTAGTAATTTACATCCAGTAGTTTGCCACTGCTTTCTGGATGGTCGGCTTCTCTATACCACTGTTGATCTGCAGCTGGGGTGGAACCCAGCACCCCCCCCCCCCCCCACACACACACATTATGAAGTGCGTTTACGACGCCTAAGCCGCAGACTCATACTTACTGCACTATTTTATCAGCCCTAAAAATTGTGATAACGGAGATTATGTAACAAGACAAGTCAGGAACAGTATGCCGTGTTTAAAAGCGGAATTTATTTACATTAAACGACATGACAACAAATATAAAACTCCATTCCAGACATCTCCTCCGGCAGGTATTTCAGCTCAGCGTCCTTCAACTGTTAGAGAAAACAAGTTTTGAAAAAGTCAGTAAAATTTACTGAATAAATTATTAAAATAACAGGCAACTGTGATTCTTGTCTAGTTAAAGTAGCTATAACACAGTGTGTTGATTATAATGGTAGCCATTCATACATGTACAGTGTGTTGATTATAATGGTAGCAACAAACTAAAGTCACTGACTAGAAACAAAACATACAATCAATAAACACAACCACTTTATGCAGGACTCTACTCAAGACTACCAATGTCTGCTCCAATTAACTGACTACTGGTCATTGAATCTGAAGGTCTGCGACAGAGAACATTGTACTGGATCAACAACCAAGAAGGTCAGCACTTGACTGCCACATCACCAGACCTGGGTGTTGCATTATATTCCCCGGCACCAGCTTCTAGGCATTTTCAGTGAGAAAATGTGGGCATTGAGATTTAACAAATCCAGAAGATTAGAATAATTAGCAGAAACAAGGGTGAGAAGTCACAGACCGGACTTAAACTTACTGTAGGAAGAGATATCAATCTCATCAGGCAGCTCTGTGATGTTGACCTCAAATCTCTCCTGGACCTCATTGAGAATTTTGGCATCGTTCTCATCGGACACAAATGTGATAGCTAGACCTTTGGTTCCAAACCGGCCGGCACGGGCAACCTAAGAAAGTCAAAACATCTGCAACTGAATAAAAATAGCATCTACAATTGCATTTATGTATAAATAGACACCAGATTCCTGTAGTTGAACATCAGCAGAGAGGGCGTTGTCCTTCCAATTAGACTGCTGCTTACATAACTAGTCAAATGGTAATTCCAATTATTATCGCCAACACATCTGACAGGTAGTTTAGTTTAGTTATACACATTGCTGGTGGTTTCTGTCTATTCATTATTCTGTAGCTGGAGATAAAATACCTGGCTGGTATGCCAGCTGCATCTACGAAACTTAGCGCTGCACGATGTCAGAGATAAATGATCGGCAAGAATCATCTAGAAATTCTTCTGAGGGACATGTATCCACAGGGACGCCACAAGACAACAGGCCATCCTTACAAGCCTTCTGTTACAAGTGGCAGGCCAAACCACCAGATCATAACAGAAGAGATCAAGAACAAGTGGCAGCAGCCTTAACACCTGGCACCAGGACATTACAGTCTCTCATGGCAAACTACAAGTTAGCAGGTGTAAATATGTAAAGTCTGAAAACCTAACATTAGTCTCCCCAGCTCCCACCCCCCAATCCCCCCATACACACTAGCTCACTTCTGACTGGCAGTTACTGAGCCCTGTGACTTTTGCACAAGGTCAGAGGGGTATTCCTGTAGATATCACATGTTGTAGCACCATTAAACAAATTCACAGGTCCATAAATGTATCTAGCATGAGTGACTGACCCTGTGGAGGTAGGTGTCGGAACTTTCTGGCATGTCGTAGTTGAAGACAATGTTGACCCTTTCAATGTCCATTCCTCGACCAAACAGATCTGTGGCCACAAGGATGCGTTTCTGGAAGTCCTTGAAGGACTGGTAGCGGGACAACCTGAGGACACCAAATACAAGACCTGACAAGAGTGGGCCAAATACAGAGCCTGATTTCAGCTGTGATCTTCCATGAAACTACGGTTGAAGTTTGACAGCAAAATGTATACTGATGAGACTGGCATTTATTCATGAATAGCAAAATGCCACACAATATGACAGTGATAAATTTATATATTTACTGCTAATAATAGTTTAAAGTGCATTAAGATAAGGATATTATGACGAGTTCAGTAATCAAGAGAAATACAGTTACATCCCTCAGAAATTCTTTGCTGCAAAAGTCTGACGTTCAAATGGTAATTCCAGTTCTCATCAATAGAATATGTAATGTAATGGTAATAAAACAAAAATATTTTCAACAGAAAATATGCAATAACCCAGCGACATTTTTGAAGCTTCATAACGTTAAATAATTTTTATAGACATACAAGTGTTGTTCATAATCTAAGAAAAGCCTATCAATACATTAGCCGTAAGGTTCTGGTTACTTCTGGAAATGGTGATCATTAATCTTCTATCATAAATCACAGATACAACACAGCACTCAGCCACTGAAACCAAGCCGAGATGGCAGAGGTTGATCTGCAGACACTTGAACCCACAACCCACCACTCAGCCACTGAAACCGAGCCGAGATGGCAGAGGTTAAGCTGCAGACACTGAACCAATCACTCAGCCAGTGAAACTGAGCCGAGATGGCAGAGGTTGATCTGCAGACATTTGAACCCACAACCCATCACTCAGCCACTGAAACCAAGCCGAGATGGCAGAGGTTGATCTGCAGACATTTGAACCCACAACCCATCACTCAGCCACTGAAACCAAGCCGAGATGGCAGAGGTTGATCTGCAGACACTGAACCAATCACTCAGCCACTGAAACTGAGCCGAGATGGCAGAGGTTGATCTGCAGACACTGAACCCACAACCCATCACTCAGCCACTGAAACCGAGCTGAGATGGCAGAGGTTGATCTGCGGACACTTGAACCCACAACCCATCACTCAGCCACTGAAACCGAGCCGAGATGGCAGAGGTAGATCTGCAGACACTGAACCCACAACGCACCTCTCTTCCTGAGTCATTGCTCTGTGGATGGCGATGGCAGGAAAGTTCTGCTCCTGCAGCAGCTGAGCCAGGGCCATGCATCGCTGGATGCTCTTGACAAAGATGATCACCTGTACAGGAACAGATTCATCATTACACTAGCTCAACAAAATTATGGGATACACATGAAATATAAATAGGCAAGCATACAGCAGACACACATGCAGAAGTTAACTCCAATTGAGAGATCTGGCTGTTTGTCAACTTCCAGTCTTGTTCCAATTTTATGTGCACATTCATTTTACAAGATCTGGCAGTAGATCTATTCTTGTATGCCTCAAAATGGAGCCCCAGAACCCGCTGGCCAACAAGTCATCATCAGCTAATCTTTTCAAAGGTAACCACACGGATGTATACATCCAATGTCCCTGTCTCTGCACCACACGGATGTATTCATCCAATGTCACTGTGTCTGCACCACACGGATGTATTCATCCAATGTCACTGTCTCTGCACCACATGGATGTATACATCCAATGTCCCTGTCTCTGCACCACACGGATGTATACATCCAATGTACCTGTCTCTGCACCACATGGATGTATTCATCCAATGTCACTGTCTCTGCACCACATGGATGTATTCATCCAATGTCCCTGTGTCTGCACCACACGGATGTATACATCCAATGTCCCTGTCTCTGCACCACACGGATGTATACATCCAATGTCCCTGTCTCTGCACCACATGGATGTATTCATCCAATGTCCCTGTCTCTGCACCACATGGATGTATTCATCCAATGTCACTGTCTCTGCACCACACGGATGTATACATCCAATGTCCCTGTCTCTGCACCACACGGATGTATACATCCAATGTCCCTGTCTCTGCACCACACGGATGTATACATCCAATGTCCCTGTCTCTGCACCACACGGATGTATACATCCAATGTCACTGTGTCTGCACCACACGGATGTTTACATCCAATGTCACTGTCTCTGCACCACACGGATGTATACATCCAATGTCCCTGTCTCTGCACCACACGGATGTATACATCCAATGTCCCTGTCTCTGCACCACATGGATGTATTCATCCAATGTCCCTGTCTCTGCACCACATGGATGTATTCATCCAATGTCACTGTCTCTGCACCACACGGATGTATACATCCAATGTCCCTGTCTCTGCACCACACGGATGTATTCATCCAATGTCCCTGTCTCTGCACCACACAGATGTATTCATCCAATGTCCCTGTCTCTGCACCACACGGATGTATACATCCAATGTCCCTGTCTCTGCACCACACGGATGTATACATCCAATGTCCCTGTCTCTGCACCACACGGATGTATACATCCAATGTCCCTGTCTCTGCACCACACGGATGTATACATCCAATGTCCCTGTCTCTGCACCACACGGATGTAAACATCCAATGTCCCTGTCTCTGCACCACACGGATGTATACATCCAATGTCCCTGTCTCTGCACCACACGGATGTATACATCCAATGTCCCTGTCTCTGCACCACACGGATGTATACATCCAATGTCCCTGTCTCTGCACCACACGGATGTATACATCCAATGTCCCTGTCTCTGCACCACATGGATGTATTCATCCAATGTCCCTGTCTCTGCACCACACGGATGTATACATCCAATGTCACTGTCTCTGCACCACACGGATGTATACATCCAATGTCCCTGTCTCTGCACCACACGGATGTATACATCCAATGTCCCTGTCTCTGCACCACACGGATGTATACATCCAATGTCCCTGTCTCTGCACCACATGGATGTATTCATCCAATGTCCCTGTCTCTGCACCACATGGATGTATTCATCCAATGTCACTGTCTCTGCACCACACGGATGTATACATCCAATGTCCCTGTCTCTGCACCACACGGATGTATGCATCCAATGTCCCTGTCTCTGCACCACACGGATGTATACATCCAATGTCACTGTCTCTGCAGAAATAATACCCACACAAATGTCTAAAAACCTTCACTAATGACATCCACTGGTTCAGTCATCATGAGACATATTGCAATTATAAGACATTTATTTACACATTCCTCAGAATTTTTATTATGCTGCAAAAGTATTTTTTCATGTGAAATTCAAATGTTAATTCCAGTTTTCATCAGAGGGATATGTACCTTCACAGTGGAACAACAATTGTGTTTGCAGAAAACATGAATGAACCCAGTAGTTAGACTCTCGTCATCTTCACAAAGTCAGAAGACAAGCACACTTTGCCTGTCAACTAGAAAAATGCCACAGTGCGGAACAAGCGGGCAGTGACTATGGATATGGTGGTGGGTGTGGTGGGACTGACCTGGTTAAACTCCAGCACGTCCAGCAACTCAAACAATTTGCGGTTCTTCTCGTTGTCCTTCAGCTTGGCGTAGTGCTGCTGCAGGCCATGCAGCGTTAGTTTGGAGTCATCGTCTACGTACACTTCCATTGGCTGAAACCAAACAACAACACTCAAGAGATTTCTTGTGCACATCTATCCACTGTCTAGCTCAGCAGGTACAACTCCAGAAATGAACTATTCCACAAAGAAAATATATGATCCAAATATTCCTGTGGTGAGAGGACAATCAGTGAAGCAACTGTGATGATCCTATCAGATCGGTACAGTCTATAGCACACTTTACAGTGGCGATGATCCTATCAGATCGGTACAGTCTATAGCACACTTTACAGTGGCGATGATCCTATCAGATCGGTACAGTCTATAGCACACTTTACAGTAGTGATGATCCTATCAGACCTGTCAAGCAGATTGGTCAGGAGCAGAGACTGTTTTAAACAAAAACCAGCCTCAGAATGATAGCATATCAACATCTGTATGTGGACTATGTTGGCAGAGATTGCCACTCTACCACTGGACTTTACAGTCACAGCAGACGTTGACCGCAAAACCAAGGGCACAAATCCACAGTGCCCTGGGACTGATGGTTGCTTATAGGTCCAAAGTCGATCACTGTTTAGAATGTCAAACTATTCCCTACATAAGTAATTGTAAGGTATGGAACTAAATATGTCAAACTATCCCTTACATAAGTAATTGTAAAGTATGGAACTAAATATGTCAAACTATTCCCTACATAAGTAATTGTAAAGTATGGAACTAAATATGTCAAACTATTCCCTACATAAGTAATTGTAAAGTATGGAACTAAATATGTCAAACTATTCCCTACATAAGTAATTGTAAGGTATGGAACTAAATATGTCAAACTATTCCCTACATAAGTAATTGTAAAGTATGGAACTAAATATGTCAAACTATTCCCTACATAAGTAATTGTAAAGTATGGAACTAAATATGTCAAACTATCCCCTACATAAGTAATTGTAAAGTATGGAACTAAATATGTCAAACTATCCCCTACATAAGTAATTGTAAAGTATGGAACTAAATATGTCAAACTATCCCCTACATAAGTAATTGTAAAGTATGGAACTAAATATGTCAAACTATCCCCTACATAAGTTATTGTAAAGTATGGAACTAAATATGTCAAACTATTCCCTACATAAGTTATTGTAAAGTATGGAACTAAATATGTCAAACTATTCCCTACATAAGTAATTGTAAAGTATGGAACTAAATATGTCAAACTATTCCCTACATAAGTAATTGTAAAGTATGGAACTAAATATGTCAAACTATTCCCTACATAAGTAATCGTAAAGTATGGAACTAAATATGTCAAACTATCCCTTACATAAGTAATTGTAAAGTATGGAACTAAATATGTCAAACTATTCCCTACATAAGTAATTGTAAAGTATGGAACTAAATATGTCAAACTATTCCCTACATAAGTAATTGTAAAGTATGGAACTAAATATGTCAAACTATTCCCTACATAAGTAATTGTAAGGTATGGAACTAAATATGTCAAACTATTCCCTACATAAGTAATTGTAAGGTATGGAACTAAATATGTCAAACTATTCCCTACATAAGCAATTGTAAAGTATGGAACTAAATATGTCAAACTATTCCCTACATAAGCAATTGTAAAGTATGGAACTAAATATGTCAAACTATCCCCTACATAAGTAATTGTAAAGTATGGAACTAAATATGTCAAACTATCCCCTACATAAGTAATTGTAAAGTATGGAACTAAATACGTCAAACTATCCCCTACATAAGTTATTGTAAAGTATGGAACTAAATATGTCAAACTATCCCCTACATAAGTAACATAAAAGTCAAATTGTACAAGTATTGTGGAACTAAATATGTCAAACTATCCCCTACATAAGTAATTGTAAAGTATGGAACTAAATATGTCAAACTATCCCCTACATAAGTAATTGTAAAGTATGGAACTAAATATGTCAAACTATTCCCTACATAAGTAATTGTAAAGTATGGAACTAAATATGTCAAACTATCCCCGACATAAGTAATTGTAAAGTATGGAACTAAATATGTCAAATGAGCTGCACTATAGTGTTCCCCACAAGCAGAACAAGTAAAACACTCATGACAAAAATAATGAATTGTTTACAAACACAAGATTTTAGATGATAGAAACATTATGACAGGGTCAAGGACAGGACAAGCTGGTGCTGGACTCGCATCAGAAATCTGGAACTAGAATGTTCCAGGTCCAGGAACCCACATGAGAGAAACAGAGAAGCCAAAATATATAACACTATAACGATTAAAGACAAAATGGGGCAAAGAGCCTGGTACAGTTGGCTGCAAAGAGCCTGGTACAGTTGGCTGCAAAGAGCCTGGTACAGTTGGCTGAGGCCTATGCTTCATTTGAGGAACAAGGCAGAATTTGCTGAAGTCATGTAACACATGGAACAAGGCAGAATTTGCTGAAGTCATGTAACACATTCTCTTTCTATCACATGTAATTTAAAGATATTCTACAACCTAAATCCATCAGACTAAACTGCATAGAAACACTAATCAATGTATAAGAAATATTGTACTACTAAACTGCACAGAAACACTAATCAATGTATAAGAAATCACAACCCAAAAATGCCCAGCAATTTTTTTTTTTTTTTTTCATCGAACACCGGCTGTGAATTCCAGTGGAAGGTCCCGGTTAATCGTCCGCTTGGACTTTTGGCTTTCACCTGGACCTGATTTTTGCGTGTACAACCGTTTTTCATTTCCCTGCCTCTTGGGCAGCTGTACGCCGACTTCGAAGGAAGACGTCAGGCCTATTTCTAGGGTGACTGTGGCCATTGTTTTGTGTGGGTCGAGACGTTGCCTGATTTGTGTGGTGTCCATTTTGTCGCCTTCGCCGCAGGTATTGCCCCCGGAGTACCCCTTTGGGGCAGCCCCCTGTGGAACAGTTGGCCCTCAAGGGAAGGTAGGGGCAGATCATGGGCATTCCCCGCCATCCAAGGAGGCTTCCATGCATGCAGAGCCGGCACATATCGCTCTGTTTCTGGACTCACCCAAGGAATCGTCACGTCCTGCACATGCCTGCTTAACCTCACAACCGTATCAGGCCTCCCGCTCGACAGGGGCTGCGCCCTCTGGAAGTCAGCGGGGAGCAGCCTTTGGGTTTTGGACTTTTGTGACCACACAGATAGGTACATTAGCCCGACAGAATTTCACATCCTGAATCAGGCATATCGTTGTCAGTTTTTCCCAACACTCGGGCAAGTGAGGTCTTTGGGTGTGGGTATTCGGTCTCTTTCAGTTCAGTGCAAATTTTGATGGTCAGATTTTGATCCGTATGATCTAGTTTTGTCGGACATTTAGGCTTAGCCATCTGATGGATGGTTGCTGTTGTGGTGTATCCCAGCGCGGTGACGACGACACTGAGGGTTAACCAAGGATGTACGTGAATGGCCAGCCTATGGATGGTTGTTGTTGTGGTGCACCTCAGCGCGGTGACGACGACACTGAGGGCCAACCGGGGATGCACAAGGATGGCCAGCCCATGGATGGTTGCTGTTGTGTTGCCCCTCAGCGCGGTGACGACGACACTGAGAATTAACAGAGGATGTGCAGTGAGCAATGTTCTCTATACTCAGCAGTCTTTTAACCAAGGGTTGTAATTTTAGCTGTATGTTTGTCAACCCTACTCATGTTCCTAATGAGTTTTGATAACATGTTTCACCCAAGCGTTTGGGGGCGGGCTGATGAGAGCCACAAGGACACATCACCTCTGGGGGCCGCCAAACTCCGAGATCCCCTGACAGCTCTGTTAATGCTCATTTGAGACATTATCCATGGCGCACGACGAGGACGTGCTGTAGGGGTCTTGTGTGAGGATCTGTACAACCAGGATAGTGAAGGACTGGCGCCCGAGTGACGTACGGAGTATCTCCTTATACACATCATGTTGGACTTAACTTCCCCTCACGCCTGTGACATAAATCACCGCGCCACTGCCCAGCAATGAATACAAGCCAACAGATGGATGTAAATATCACCTTTAAACACATTTTTTTTAAATATAAAATTTTAGAAACATCATTTATAGATGGAGCAATGATACTACAGATAGGAAATATATCTGATGTAGGTTTTCCCTTCAACAGGTAATTACTGCTAGAGATTCTTCAAACAGAATTCAAATAGTAATTCTAGTTTTCATCAATGGGAAGAGATTCATTGCAATGGAAGTTTCAATAAAAATGTTGAGAAAAGCAAGTTACATTTTCTTCACATCATTTACCCCTGGTAGCCAAATGCTTCACTTAATGGTCAGGCAATGGGTTTTTTTTTCTATCATGCTGTCATAGAGAAAGGTGGATAAATAAACACACAAACACTGTTCATTAAAGGCACAACAGACAACATGACAAAGAAGACAACATCATCAACCATTTGAGTTGCTTGAATCCACGACTGGCCAAGCATCGACTGGTGTCAACCACAGAGGAGGGCATCAGCACATCCAGCGGGGTTCATCCAGGGACTCCAGCGTAAAGCTCATGATTCCCCATCGTAACTGGCATGCTGGCAGTGGAGAATATTATCTCGACATGTGTGCCTTCATGTTTGCTTTATTGTGTGGGCGCTTGTATGTCATGGAAGTGTTCAATCATGGAGCATGTGTATCTCGACATGTGTGCCTTCATGTTTGCTTTACTGTGTGGGCGCTTGTATAACATGGAAGTGTTCAGTCATGGAGCATGTGTATCTCGACATGTGTGCCTTCATGTTTGCTTTACTGTGTGGGCGCTTGCATAGCTAGCTTGATGCAAATTGTGTCATGGAAGTGTTTAGTCATGTAGTTGTCTATCAGAATGAGTACTGACTGGACCATCGAAGCAGGTTAGCCTCATATAGTATAATGGCGTGAAGACCTGTCGTGTGTTTGTGTGAGAAACAGGGTAGTTTTTTCACTAGCTACAAGTCCCAGCTTGCCCCCGCGTTCAGCGCAGGAGGACTCCGAGACTCTCACCTGCCCTAATTAGGGCAGTCCCTAAATAACGTGTGTGTGTGCGTGTGTCACGCTGCAGCAACTAATCGGAATTATAAGTTGATTCTGGAATGTTTTTTTAAGATAACCTTGCTGTCGTATCTCAAGAAATTACAATGTACAAGCTTCGCGCATGGTGAACAATCTACTGCCTGCAGTGTGTCTGTAGTGTACTTGTGCGACTCACTTCCGTGTGTGGCTTGTTCAGGGATATGTTGTTGTTGTTGGAACCGCAAGTCTCGTGGGTCTGTTGAGAAAATGGCTCGATGTGTGTGTGTGTGTGTGTGTGTGTGTGTGCGTGTGTGTGTGCAGCTAACAGCAGAAACATTGTGGTGAGCAGTATATTACATCTTGCATGAACTTCTTGCACACAGGGCGGATTTCTTTACTGAGTGTAGCACTGAACATCATCACTTGTTTCTCATGGGGAGTCATGCGGAAGATCTCCTGGACATCACTGCGCATGTCTGTGGAACACAGTCAACATCACTGGTTAGGCAGGTGTCAACATACACATCAGCAGATAAATAACAGTTGTAGCAGTCCTTACTGACACAACTTATGATCTGTTCAACAACATCTAAAGTAACAACTAACATCTAAAGTAACAACTAACATCTAAAGTAATACCGGGAAGGCTAACCCGGTCAACAAATGCCTACAGAAGTTGGATGTGTTGGCCGAAAGGTGCGAATATCGCAGCCATGCTGTAAACGGACACAACGCAATTACATCTTCGGATGAACGCAGAAGAAGAAGAAGATCTAAAGTAACAACTAACAACATCTAAAGTAACAACATCTAAAGCATCGACATCCAGTGAAAATATAAAATACTAACAGACTTCATATACTCTCTACACCAGTGGTCTCCAACCTAAAAAGGGGGAGAGATGGGAGGGGGGGGGGGGGGGGGGCGCAAGGGCCTTGCAATAAACTCAAGTACTAAAGGGTGGAGTGACCAGAAAAAGGCTGGAGAGAGCACTGCTCTAGATTAAGGCTATGCATCAGGCAGGCACACAATTGTCTCTGCCACTGTTGCCATGGATACAAAAGACTTATAAAGAGGGATGAGATATTTGGAGTTCCTATCATTCCTGTCAGTCTCATCACGAAGTGTGGACAAGCCAATCTAAACAACCATCAACAATGGTTGATCAGGTCAACAAGATACATCAAGCCAAATGTGCCACTGTGTCTCACAATGACATAGAGCACAACCACATCTAAGTGTGTCATGAATTCTCTTAATCTGAGACAAATGCCTCGAGTGTCATCACAAATCAAGCCAGCAGACTCAGGCAAGAACTGACCAGGGCAAAATGGCTGTTAGGCAGACTTATCATTTGTTGTCATCACTGAAGTATTCTTCCAATTTGTTAAAATCATTGACATTACAAGGGATATTTACATTGACAGATTTTATATAGAAGCTCTGGAGGGCAATGATAATGGTCTCAAAAGAGAAGACTTATCCCTCAATCCTCACAGAATTGTGTCCACAGCTCCAGTTCCCTCAGACGAGTGTCATCAAATCTCCACCTAGGACATCAAATACTGACCACAGCAAGAAGGTGGCTGGTGGCAGCAAGAAGGTGGCTGGTGGCAGCAAGAAGGTGGATGGTGGCAGCAAGAAGGTGGCTGGTGGCAGCAAGAAGGTGGCTGGTGGCAGCAAGAAGGTGGCTGGTGGCAGCAAGAAGGTGGCTGGTGGCAGCAAGAAGGTGGCTGGTGGCAGCAAGAAGGTGGCTGGTGGCAGCAAGAAGGTGGCTGGTGGCAGCAAGAAGGTGGCTGGTGGCAGCAAGAAGGTGGCTGGTGGCAGCAAGAAGGTGGCTGGTGGCAGCAAGAAGGTGGATGGTGGCAGCAAGAAGGTGGCTGGTGGCAGACTCGGACTCATTCCAACAAATTTTAAGTTTTTCATGGAGATCAGGACTTGGTGGAAAGTGAAATCTGCCGGTCTTAACCCATATCACACAAGCACTACCTACACGGGTGGTCACACTACACAATGACTGTTAACCTGTAAACTTATCGAGCAGAATGTTGTGTGATGGCTCAGTTGGTGAAACAACTATTCAATTTCAGAACTAAAAATGGTAATATACTAATGCTGCATATAGGAAACAAATATACTCCCTAAATGTTCACACATTATATCTGTTAATCTTGTAAGTTAGAATAGATAAAACCTAAACACAAAACATATTTCCCTCTGAAGAAAATAGCTGCGTTTTCTTTTCATTAGAACTCAAATGGTAATTCCAATTATCATCATTCCGAACTGAAGACAGTCAGACTGACAGATTCTTTACTGGAAGACAGTCAGACTGAAAGATGTTTTACTGGAAGACAGTCAGACTGAAAGATGTTTTACTGGAAGACAGTCAGACTGACATATATTTTACTGGAAGACAGTCAGACTGACATATGTTTTACTGGAAGACAGTCAGACTGACAGATGTTTTACTGGAAGACGGTCAGACTGACAGATGTTTTACTGGAAGACAGTCAGACTGACATATGTTTTACTGGAAGACAGTCAGACTGACAGATGTTTTACTGGAAGACAGTCAGACTGACATATGTTTTACTGGAAGACAGTCAGACTGACAGATGTTTTACTGGAAGACGGTCAGACTGACAGATGTTTTACTGGAAGACAGACAACTCACCGACTGCTGCCAGCATCTTGTCACACTCGTCCAGAATAAAGTGCTTGACATGTTTCAGAGACAGGACTTTGGTGCGAGCCAGGGCCAGGATTCGACCAGGGGTACCAACCACAATGTGTGGGCAGTTCTTCTTCAGCACCTCCTCATCCTTCTTGATGTTCATGCCACCAAAGAAGACGGCAATCTTCACATTGTTACTGTATTTACTGAATCGTTCATACTCCTTGCTGATCTGAAAGGCTAGCTCTCTGGTGTGTGCTAGCACCAGTACTGACACCTGGTGAGATAGAACAGCCAATTCGGTATACATCACAATAGACATTTTAGATCAACACATTCACCATACTGAAACAGATCAGTACATGGATTACAGCATATTTAAGGTATGGACCACACAAAACACTGGAAGACAGAGAGGGTCATCTACCAATAGTAACGCCTGCAAACCTCAACATCTGATTACATCTACCTGTTCAGTCATCACATGACATTATAAATACAAGACATTTACACATCCCTCAGAATTGTTATGCTGCAAAAGTATTTTTCATTTGAAATTCCAGTTATCATCATAGGGATATGTATTGCAATGTCCACACACACACACACACAGTTTTTAAGCAAAAATTATTTATTTAACCCACTAGCTTCACAAAGTCAGATGCTTACAATTGTTTTTGAGTTTGTTGAACAAAATAAAACTGGCTAGCGGAAACTTATGAAACATCTGGCTTCAAAGCTTCTAGTACTAACAGGCATCCACTACCTCATCCACCTGTCCATGACACTCACCCCGTACCCAGCTACTTCACATGTGCTGATGCTTGTCACAGACAAATGATGTAAAACAACAAACACCAAAAACCACAATTCCTAACAAAATCACATTCCTTGTAAATTGACTGTTGGATAAAAGGCAACAATGTCTTCAAATGTAGACATCCTGTCCATTAGTGCCTAAAAGGTTCATAAGCTATCCTCTGAAAAACGGTCCAAAATTATCGAGGCGGAAAATATACCCTAACAGGGCCTCAGTCATGTGTCAATTGCGCACTTCCGGCGACTCCCGCCACTGCCGAGAATATACCCCACGCCGCGTGGATTTGGGCTAAACTAGATGGCTGGGACTCATGAGCAGCAGCTACCACATCTCCCGCAGCTTCCTTCATTTTATTTGCTCTAGAGTCCTAGCCATCTAGTATAGCCCCAATCCAAGGCGCGTGAGCGGCGTGGGGGATACTCTTGGCGGTGGCGGAAGTTGCCGGAAGTTCGCAATTCGGCGGCGGCGTTGTAGTCCCCGGAAGTGCGCAACTGACCTGTGACTGAGAACCTGTAAGGGTATATTTTCCGCCTCGATAATTTAAACCGTTATTCGGAGGATAGCCAGTTCATATTATCATTGGGCTCAGCGATGGCTCGTTAGAACATTCTGACAGTGTCTTTTATAACAGAGTCATGTATAAAAATTGTCCACTAGGCCAAGACAGTTTGCATAGAAAACTTTACTCCGCAGCCGCAGGAAACTTTTCAGTGTCTATCAGACAATGTGAATATACATCAGAAATCTACTTGCTGCAAAATTAATTTCATTTGGGTTTCTACTGGTAACTCGTTTTCATCACTGTTTAAAAGTGATGTTGCACTGTCTCATCAATTCTGTGTCCCATTATATCTGAGGCTTGTTTCCTGTCTGCCCGTCCTACACTTAGTCAGTCTCCAGTTACACATGTAGGTCATCCTTCTGCCCAGTCTGTATTAACCCATCTTTGAATCTCAGACGACATTATTAACTATGCTGACAGGCATTCTCTTGAGGTAATGGCAAGTACCAGCCCTTACACCACAACATGGCAGAGACAGGATGGGGGAGGGGAGGGGGGGGGGGCTCAGAACAAAATTTGACATTGTAAAAAACAAACATGTCTATCAATACTAAACAGCCAGCAAATGTTGCAGGAAATATACACCTCTCCAACATAATCTCATTAAGTAGGCTAAGAATGCCCCAGCATTAATCGCTCAGATATATTCCTCAAGTGTTATCACACATGCACAGATAGCTGTTGTTTGACCAGTTAAAAACTGACCAGCCCACAATGTTCTCTGGAAGCAGACTCGTCATCTTTGTCATCAGTGAGAATATGCTTTAAGGAATAGTTTACCCCAGAATAGATTTACTCTGGTAATCTCTCGGCTGCTAGGAGAACTGACTGGAACCAAGTTACAGGTCAAATACTTCTTCACCCTTTTCAGAAGTAAGATTTTTTTTTCAAGTGTAGCCACAACTGCAAGGTGTGACAAGCTCAACATGTGCAGCTGCAAATCTTACCTGGCCATCCACTGGCTCCAGCTGCTGTAGAGTTGCCAGGACAAAGACTGCTGTCTTGCCCATACCTGACTTGGCCTGGCACAGAACGTCCATGGACAGGATGGCTTGAGGAATGCACTCATGCTGAACTGTAATCAAACGTTTCAAATCATCATCATTAGGGAGAGACTTGTGCACACATCTGGACAGTCCAGCTGGCAACTGACCAGGTTGGCATTTAGAAAACTGACAATGACTAGATGTGTTAGTCTTGAGTTTCATCTGCTGTGACAAGAACACGTCACAACATGTTGGTATCAAACATGTTCTCTGTATGCCCTCTTTGACACTGTGTGAGGTTAAAGTAACCTCCCAAGTAACACAGATGGCATGAAGTACGAGGTAAACATAAACTGTAAAAGGTTTAATCTCTGCAAAGCGGCTCCTGAGTGTTGCACAAAGCACGAACTCAAAAGCTCATGTGATAATTATGGGAATCTACATTTAAAACTGCATTTGTGAACTGAATAACAATTCATGAAACAAACCCACTACCAGAAGGTAAGGGAAACAGACCACTTTGCCATAAAAGGCCCCTTCCCCCTTTTTTCACCACTGTTTGTGGCCCAGTAGAGATTGTGTGGTCGGCAGATCAAATGTTGCACAGGTAAATAACACATGCATTACAGTACATTTCATGCACTATAGCAAACAAAAGTCAGTAATCAGGGAATGGCAAATGGGATGGATTTCAACTGCGACTGCTTTAAAGTAGTAGTTTACAGAGTATTTCCACAGCGCTGCTGCACTTTTTCCCTTGCAATGTTTCCATAATTTCAATATGTACAAACATCAGACATTCTTATTTTTTTCATTGTTGTATTTTCTCGTTTAAAAAAAAAAAAAAAGCAAACATGTGTAAGCCAGAAGCATCACTTCTAAATGACCCTACCAACAGACAATGCACCAGCACACCAGTAAATGACCCCACCAACAGACAATGCAACAGCACACCAGTAAATGACCCCACCAACAGACAATGCAACAGCACACTAGTAGTGTGGAAATGGCACAGACTTTATAGATCAGGGCAATAGGAGTCGAGCAGCCGGGGACCTTCAACTTGCCTGTCCAGATCTACTACCCCATCTCACACTGTCCTCTCCCTGGTCCATCAGAAGAACAAGCCAATAACTAGCTACACTGATACATGACTGCACTAACAGAAACAACTGAAGCCAGACAATCACCTTCTGACGGATGCTCAAACCCACAGTCCACAATGGCTCTCAACAGCTCTGGCTTCAGCAGGAAGTCGCGGAAACCCGAGCTGTGGATGGACACGTATGTTCCCTTGACATCTTTCTTGACTGGTCCATCACCTGCCGCAGCTTCTACTGCGGGCTCATTCTCCTCATCATCATAGTCAAGAATAACATTGTCTTCAGCCATTTTCTGCAGTGACTAACACTGAACCTGAAAACACAAAACAAACATGGACCAGGGTGTCAACATTTCTAGGCTTCTATCAACCCCTGTGACACTTTACTATATTGTCTAGAATACATGTAACTTGATGGCATAGTTTTATATTGATTTATAAACCATGTTTACAATCAGATAATTTTAGCCAAGTCAATCAGGAGGAAACATGATTATGAAATATTCCATTTCAAACAAACACATTTTGCCTCCAGGACTGCTACCTGTCTAACATCCAGTAGCTCAAAACAGCCAGTAAAAGCTTGAGAATCACACAACGAGCACATCCCAGAAACAGGTTCAACAGCCTCTGACAGTGATCACTTATGGGGCATCATTTGGTTACAATGTAACTAAGCTGTTGTACAATGTGGATGGGTCATGTGACATTTCAGAAAACCTTCACGTTCACCATGTGTAAACTGTGGCGTCAAGCTGTGGTAATTTATCCAGTTCTTCTTCTTCTTCTTCTTCTTGTTCACCGGCTGCGAATTCCGGCGGTAAGTCGCGGTTGTTCGTCCAAAATGGACTTTTGGCTTTTACCTTGACCTGAGTTTTGCGTGTACATCCGTTTTACTGGCTTATTTGTTTGCAGTACTCGTTCCCCGCCTCTCCGGCAGATGTACTCCGACTTCGGAGGAAGACATCAAGCCTATTTCTAGGTTGACTGTGGCCATTGTTTTGTGTGGGTCGAGATGTTGCCTCATTTGTGTGGTGTCCTCTTTGACTTTTAACAGGTGTGGCCCCCGGCATGTCGTCCTTAAGGCAGCTCTATGTAGAGTTTTCAGCCCTCAAGGGAAGGCAGGGGCAGATCATAGGCATTCCCCGCCATCCAAGGAGGCTTCCATAAATGCAGAGCCGACACATGATGCTCTGGTTCTGGGCTCACCCAATGAATCGTCACGTCCTGCCCATGACTGCTTAACCTCACAACCGTGTATTGAGCTTCCCACGCTACAAGGCTGCGCTCTCCGGAGATCAGCGGGGAGCAGCCCGCAGGTCTAGGACGTTTGTGGCCACACAAATAGGTACATTCTTTTTCATCTTACGTTAGACACCTTTAATGTTGTTTCAGCTGTGCCCTTAGCACGACAGAATGGGGAAGCAAAATGCGTCAGGCGTGGCTTCACTTGTTTGGTCCCAACATTCGGGCGAGTTGGACCAGTGGAAACGGACATTCGGACTTTTTCCTAATCGGTACGAATTATGATCGTCGGACTTTGATCTTGCATGTGTGCCGTGGGGTATAATTTTGTCGGACATTATTTCCAAGCCAGCATATGAAAAGTTGCTGCGTGGTGTACCTCAGCGCGGTGACGACGACACTGAGGATTGAGGATGTACGTAGGTAGGATCTTGCTGTGAGAAGTCGCCCACAAGAGATGTTACTTGTCTTGGCTGCGGGTAAATCTCTCGGTCAGGGTTGAGTCTCAGCAGCACAGTTTTAAATTCCCTCCCGAATTTTAACCAAGAGTTGTCATTTGATGGTACATTTAGCAAGCAATCCTTGGGTTTTGTTAGACTTTTCACCCATGCGTTTGGGGGCGGGCTGATGAGAGCCAGAAAGGACACTACACCTCTAGGGGCCGCCAGCTCCGAGATCCCCTGCCAACTCTGTTAATGCTCATTTGAGACATTATCCGTGGCGCACGACGGGGACGTGCAGCAGGAGTCTTGCATGAGGTTCCGTAAAACCAGAACAGTGAAGGACTGGCGCCCGAGTGGGGTACGGAGTATCTCCTTATACACCTCACATCAGACTTAACTTTGCCTCATGCCTGTGACCGAAATCACCGCGCCACATCCAGTTCTGAAGTAAGACCTTGTCCCAGAACATGATTGTTGCAGGCACATCTGTTGTACAGTTTCTGTTTCTTTGGGTGGAGGCTGTTGGTTCTTTGCCTCTCAAGCAAACTGGCTCACAACTGGAAGGGAATGATCCTATCGCTTCCTAGCTTAGGCTTTAGCCCAGTCAGCCAGCCCAGTTTCAGAACCTGGTGTTGCTAGGATGGCCAAGGAGCCGGAGATAGGTCTTGATGGTCAAACTAACCAGCCCCTGAGACCTGGTTGCATCATTTCATTTCAGTTAAGCAATTCTGCATCTTGTACAAAAATACCCATTTCTTGAAATGCAGTCTCCCTGTATGGGTTCTGGGACCCAATTTTTCTGCGGGGTAGGGGGGAGAACAGACCCGCTGCTATTGCTGTGCTAAAGCCACTAGTGCTGGGGAGAACAGACCCACTGCTATTGCTGTGCTAAAGCCACTAGTACTGGGGAGAACAGACCCACTGCTATTGCTGTGCTAAGCCACAAGTGCTGGGGAGAATGGACCCACTGCTATTGCTGTGCTAAAGCCACTAGTACTGGGGAGAACAGACCCACTGCTAGTGCTGTGCTAAGCCACAAGTGCTGGGGAGAACAGACCCACTGCTATTGCTGTGCTAAAGCCACTAGTACTGGGGAGAACAGACCCACTGCTAGTGCTGTGCTAAGCCACAAGTGCTGGGGAGAATGGACCCACTGCTATTGCTGTGCTAAAGCTACTTGTGCTGGGGAGAATAGACCTGCTGCTATTGCTAAGCCACTATAGCTGGGGAGAATAGACCTACTGCTATTGCTGTGCTCAAGCCACCAGTGCTGGGAATAGACCCACTGCTATTGATGTGCTAAAGCCACAAGTGCTGGGGAGAACAGACTCACTGCTGTTGCTGTGCTAAAGCCACTAGTTCTGGGGAGAATAGACCCGCTGCTATTGCTGTGCTAAAGCCACTAGTGCTGAGGAGAATAGACCCGCTGCAATTGCTGTGCTAAAGCCACTAATGCTGGGGAGAATAGACCCGATGATTTTGCTGTGCTAAAGCCACTAGTGCTGGGGAGAACAGACCCACTACTATTGCTGGGCTAAAGCCACTAGTGCTGGGAAGAATAGATCCGCTGCTATTGTTAAGCCACTAGTGCTGAGGAGAATAGACCCGCTGCTATTGCTAAGCCACTAGTGCTGGGGAGAATAGACCCGCTGCTATTGCTGTGCTAAAGCCACTAGTGCTGGGGAGAATAGACCTGCTATTGCTAAGCCACTAGTACTGGGGAGAATAGACCTGCTGCTATTGCTAAGCCACTAGTACTGGGGAGAATAGACCTGCTGCTATTGCTAAGCCACTAGTACTGGGGAGAATAGACCCGCTGCTATTGCTAAGCCACTAGTACAGGGGAGAATAAACCCTCTGCTATTGCTAAGCCACTAGTACTGGGGAGAATAGACCCGCTGCTATTGCTAAGCCACTAGTACTGGGGAGAATAGACCCCCTGCTATTGCTGTGCTAAAGCCACTAGTACTGGGGAGAATAGACCCCCTGCTATTGCTGTGCTAAAGCCACTAGTGCTGGGGAGAATAGACCTGCTGCTATTGCTAAGCCACTAGTACTGGGGAGAATAGACCGGCTGCTATTGCTAAGCCACTAGTGCTGGGTTTCTGTTCTGAAAGGAAGGTCACTGGTTTCCAGCCACTGTCACTTTATAATTATAAGCTACAACCCTACATGCCAACATTCACTGTGTGACCTTCATTTCAAGTCTTTTTTTTTCTTGCAAGTTTAATATTTATTACGTACATTAAATAGATTATTCTGTTCCACCTAGTTCTACACTCACATAATAATACTGTTCTGAACCTAGTCGACTTGGGGCATGATAATATAGCCCATTTGGCTCTCCGCAGAATGATGGGTCTGAGTGATCGCGTTGAAAAATATTCCCTCAAGCCCTCACTGATACCTAAAACTAGGATTTATTTCTGGCAAGTATGGCTGGCAGAACATCAGCTCCGACACAGATTAGCAATAATGTTCTACTAATTGAAAAAGTGAAAACTGCAGATGTTAGACCCGCAGACTTATAAGCTCGCCTCCGAACTTCGTCCCCATATTATGGCAGCCAAACAAATACCCTAACAGGGCCTCAGTACTGTGTAAAATGCGGTGTGCCTGCTGAGGAACAAATTGTGGCAAAACTAGGATTGCCTCCGAATAAGGGACCAATATTATTGAGGATAAACAAATACTCTTACAGAGTCTCAGCGATATGTTAACTGCGGACCTGTTTCTGTGACTATGCCGCACCGCCGACAGTATCCCCCGCCCGGATGGGTAGCTAAACTAGATGGCTGGGACTCACAAGCACAAAATTGGAGGAAGTTGCAGGAGATGCGGTAGCTGCTGCTCCTGAGTCCCACCCATCTAGTTTAGCCCCTCATCCGCTCGTCGGATACTGTCTGCTGTGCGGCATATTCTCAGAAACAGGGGATACGCTCAGTGGTGAGTTTAATCAGAAGAACACTATCGCTAATCTGCGACGGAGCGCGTGGTACCCTGCCATGTCGCTATTATCGTGTGTGTATTGTTGCGTTTCTCGAAATTGTCAACGGACAGTAATCCTAGTTTTGCCGTGATGTGTTCATCGGAGGAAGTCCGCATTTTACACACGACTGAGGCCCTGTTAGGGTATTTGTTTGGCCGTCATAATATGGGGACAAAGTTCAGAGGAGAGCCGACATATATACAAAAATATATATATATGTTTGTTTATATATATATTTTAATGATGTATGGCTAGGGTTATGGAGACTGACAGAAATTAAAAGGAGGATGGCCATGGCAATGCAAAGACTGAACAGCCTTAAAAGTCTATGGTCAAGTACCAGCAAGGAGATCAAAATCAGAATTGTGAGAGCATGCATCTTCGTTGTAGCAACATACGGATGAGAGCTGTGGACTATCTCCCAGTCCTTAAGAAAATTATAGGAGCTTTTGAGCTGAAATGCTATAGAAAGATTCTCAAAATATCTTGGACGAAAAACAGGAGAAATACTGACATCTTGAAAGATCTGAACATCAAGGAAGGCTATCCTCTGAATAACGGTCCTAAATTATCGAGGCAGAAAATATACCTTAACAGGGCCTCAGTCACATGT